CTGACGAAATACACTGCTGAGGGGAGCAGTGGGCGAGACAGGAGAGGTCTGCTCACCATGTGGGTTGCTCCAAGGCCGGCAGGGATCGAATTGGCACTGCAGAGGCTGTGTATAGCTTCATAGCACTGTGCTCAACAGCCTGTGCCACCAGGGAGGCCCAGCAGCTATTAATCTTAATGTGACTCAGTTTCCTCATATCTAAAATGTGAAAAATAATAGTAATTGTATTCATAGAGGTTTTTTGAAACTTAAAGTAAGTTTTTTGAAACTTATGTACCAGGAATTTAGAACTGTACTCGCAATTTGTGTAATCAGTACACATTTTATTAGATTTTCTATGATATAAGCAGAACTGTATTTAAATTCCTTCATTTTTCATTAGTTCTTAAGAAGTTGATCCTTTGTATAAATACATGCTGAAACACCAAAAACTTCAGTTCCTGCAACAACAACAAAAAAACTCTCTGGCCTTCTTGAAAGCCAAAGAGCTCTTTATATCTACTTCACTGAGTTGCTTTGTTTGTCAAATCTTTGTCAATTTCTCTTATTCATAGACCTCCTTCTTCCCACTGAAAGGTGAATTAAAAAGTCATTTCAGTGTCATTTTGAAATCATTCTGGTATAGACACATACCTTATTTATTAACGTGCCACCTACTCTCAGGGAAATCTTCCTTTGATAGATGGGTATTTTCAAGTTTCATTATCTTTCATATTTCACTTACAGTTGCTGCATTTATCTTTCTTTGTAGCATTTGTTTAAATTTGATAAGGTTTAATGCTTTGATTTAACCTATTCTTTCCTTGCCTTAAGATGTTAAATTGTGAAATTGAAAGAATTGATAAACTACAGGTTAAGTGAACTTATCTTAACATGAATAGCTAATGTTCATTGAGCATTCACCATGTGCCAGTTCTCAATTTTTTTTTTTTTAATAGAGGCATTTTTTTTTATTTATTTATTTGTTTGTTTGTTTGTTTTTATACATGCACTGGGTACAGTCAGAAGCGCGGGAGGGTGAGAGAATTCACCAGAGCCAGAGCAGGGAGCAGAGCAGGCAGAAGGACCGAAGTACACTGCTGAGGGGAGCAGCGGGCGGCAGGAGAGGTCTGCGCACCATGTGGGATCCTCCTCTGGTGGCCGGGGAGCAGCCGGAGATCGAACCGGCGCCGCAGAGGCCACGGGCAGCTTCGCAACCCAGCGCTCAACCGCTGCGCCACCGGGGAGGCCCAGTTCTCAATTTTTTTTATGTATGTATATATTCGTTCAATCCTCACATCTATGAAAGCATTGTAAATACTCTCCATTCCTGGGCCTCCCTGATGGCGCAAGGGTAAGTCTCAGCACTATGAAGCTATCCTCAGCCATTGCAGCATGAGTTTAATCTCAGGACAGGGAGCTGACCCACATGGCGCAGTAGACCTCTCTTGCCTCACCCGCTGCTCCCCTGAGCAGTGTATTTCAGTAGATCCACCTGTTCTGCTCCCCACTGTGTCTCTGGTGAATCCTCTCACCACCCCCACACCTCTGGCCTACACACCAGCTCTTGTGTGCATAAATAAATAAACCTTAAAAAAATACTATCCATTCCTATTCTAGAAATGTATTAGTAGAAAATCAGAGAAACTAAGAGACTATTTTCAGGTTTCTCCAGAAAAAACAAACTATTAGGAGATATATTTGGTTTACACAATTGTGAGAGCTGACAAATCCAAAATCTATAGCCAGGCCAGCAGACTGAAAGTCTTCTTTCTCAGGGAAATCTGTTTGGTTTTTAAGGCCTTTTGACAGATTGAATGAAGCCTGCTAGCATTATCAAAGTAATCTTTACTTAAAGTCAACTGATTTGTAGATATTAACCAAATCTACAAAATGCCTTCACAGCAATACCTAGATTAGTGTTTGATTGGATAGCTTGATTCTATAATCTAGCCAAGTACACAAAAAAATATCACAGGAACTTAAACAACAAGATCACAGAGCTGCTAAAATGGAAGCAGAAGGACTCAAACCAAAGTCTGTCTGATAACAAACAAAAAACAAAAAACTCTGCTCAGAATCCCTCCTCAGCATCACGTTTAGTATTGGATCAAGTACTTCTGCCAACTGGGCCAGGCACCACAGAGTTTATGAGGAAAGCTTCAGAGCCACTGTCCTGTATATAAGGGATGACTTGTCACCCAGGTAGGGAGAAGGACTCCTTAGACCTTGGGGCTCTAAAAGTATATGTGAGTTGTGCTGTGGCTAAGTAGGCTGCTGGTTGAGGGATCCTAATGATGCCATCCAGTTACTGGCTCATTATTCCTCTTTTTAATGCCAATATCCATATTTCAGAACATCTAACCTGTGCCCTCTTGAACATTTACAGGGAGAATCTGACCCAGTAAATGTTAAATTCATTATAGTGATGAATGCAGAGTGAGGTGAAAGTACAGGAAGCTCACTTGGGCTTTGCAGTGTCATTTAATCCGAGTAAAAAATAATGAAATTTAAATTTTACCAAAGTTTTTACCTTGTGAAAATATCCTTGCAGGAGAGGAGAAATCATCAGTGGGGGCCAGTGGTGTGGTTAGTTGGAATGCTTGTGTTTCTTTAGATTATTTTGGTGATAGGTTTATACAAAATAACTGCAGAGGTAAAGCTTCCTTTATGTCTTCACCATGGTAAGTAGTGAGGAACTCAGATTAGGAATCTGTAAACGAAGAATCTTAGATCTTATTGCCACTGTCTCTCCACCTCTTATATTCTCTGTGCCTTGGTTTTGATTTTACCTTAAAATTTTTGCTTATCGTTCCTGAAAATGCATAGCATTTCAGGTTGCTTTTCTTCTTTGTGGTTTTTTTTTTTTTTTTTAAAACAGGAAAACGAAGTTTTATAGAACACACCCTGTCTCAATCATATAGTAATATAAAAGGGAAGATAGGTTTATTTGAATTGTGATATATAACTCATGTTGATTTGACTAATTAAGTGTAGCTTAAACTAAGTTATCTTTTAATAGCTGCCCAGAAAAATTGTTTTGTTGTTAGAATATTTAAGTATATATTCCATGATTTTTCTGTAACTTCAAATACCTCCTACCCCAGGCTTTCTAAAAGAATTGCACAAATAACCACACATTTATGTAATGGTTTCTATGTCACAAATATATGTATTTCTGTGTCAGAAGATGAAGAAACAGTTGTGTCCCCACTTAATTGTTAGAGAAAACAAGGCACAAGAAAGTGAAATTATTTGCCTAACCTTTCTTGATAAACAAAGTGATTTTAAAAATAAATGGTTTTAAAATGATCTGTAAGCAAAGGGCAAATCTTTGGGGGTAGGGGATGGAAAGGCTACTGAGCAAGGAAGAAAAATGTTTGATTTAATTTGAAGGGACAGCAGTGGTTTATTGCTGGTTACTCACTCAATCCATAAGCACCTTCAGCTTTCAGATCAGATATTCTACCTGCCTTATCTCACATGACAAAAGTCATCTTTGGACCATGCTTATTATGCTGTGTGTCCACAAGCCAGTATCCATTGTCCTTTATTTAACTATAAAATAAAACCCTTCCTCTCTAGAATGACCCTGTGGTAGAATGAATTTTGGACAGTAATAATAATAATAATAATAATAATAATAAAAAACAGTAAATTCTCCCTCTGTTTAGATGAATTAATTCTTCCCTTTTCCATAGGGAGGTGATGGCTATCAGATTTGCTTCATTTGTACTCTGAATTTTTTTTTATTTTCAGATTTTTGGAAATAATTTCCTAGTTATATAGTTGATATATGCGTATTGTAGAAATTTTGGAAAATAAGCAAAGCATAAACATTTAGATTGTTCATAACTCCACTAACAGAAATTCAAGTTACGTAGTTTATATTCTCTTTCTTTACAAAGCTTAAATCTTACAAAACTTTCTTCATAAAACAATACACAGTTTGTTTCCTGCATATCTTTCAACACTCTATTTTTACTAAGTCTGATGCCATATTTTAAATATATATTTTTAATGACTACTCCTTGTTTTATCTCTTTTAAAATAAAACACATTCATTCTGTTCACATTTTAATATTCCCTTCATATTTGTTCTCTCACTCTCATATTTTCCTATAGTTACTCTTTATTTGAATGTCTTAGTATTTCCTTAGGCTATATTCAAAACTATCTTTAAGAAACTGAGCACCAATCATGTATTTCTACCAAAAGAGCATAACAAGTTTTTACCCTTGTCATGTAGTCTATGATTTCCTAAATCCTTTTTTTTAATAGAGGAAAACAGAGCTTATTGTTTTAATTTGCAGCTTTCAAATTGATGATGGAATAAAGATTTTTGGTGTTTATAAATAATTTTTATTTTTGATTATCCCAAATTTTATTATCCTTTGTTTATGCTTCTATGGAAAATGGATGTGTTCCTTATTGAAACTGAAATACTTATTTATAATATCAAAATATTTTCTTTATTAAATTATTCTCCTCATTAATCATTGCCTCTTAATTTGCTTGTAGTATTTTTGAAATGTAGAAGTAGCTGAACTTTTGTGGTAACATTCACTTTTTTTTCTTTGAATATTTTTTATCTTTATTTCTTAGAATGATTTTCCATATTTAGGAACTTGATAAACATATAATTTTGTATGATCTCTCTTATATTTTGTGTTGAATTTCTCATTTTTAGCAGTTCAGTATACTAGGAAGATTTTATTTTTATGTAAAGAGATTATATTGCCTGATTTATACTGTTACACTATATTTAGGTTTATATGTATGCATCCTTGTCTGTATATGTGTGTGATTTATGATGTGTGCTTAATTGCATATTAAAGGTGTACTCTGAGGGTGTTTCATTGTGTTACGTACATTCTTTTATATTGATTTGTTTATAGATTTTTCTCTTTTAAGAACTACAGTATTTTAATGATTGCAGCTTTCCAATGTTTCTGTTTTAAATATCCACTAGATTACGTCCCTCCATGTGCTAATGCTATTTTATCATTTTTATTACTTAGGCTTGCCGGAACCCAATAAAGACCCCATCTTCCAAGGCCTGACACAGGACCAGGGGTTTTATACATCTAAAGACTTTTTGCCACTTGTAGCCAAAAGCAGTAAAGCAGGTATAACCTATTGTCATCCTCTCTTAATATTGCCTACGTTGCTGTAATATTATAAAATCCAGGCTCAGTAGATCATTGCTTAGAAATCACGATCCTTTCATAGCACCAATACAAAGTTAAAAAACATATTCTGATGTAACAGTTAACAGCTTGTCCATCATCTGTTTCTCCATTCTTTTGATCAAGCATCATCATAAGGATCTTTCATTGTGTTATATGTAACTCTAAACTACATCATGAATTCTAAGTAAGAATGTCTTAAACATTGGAACATGTTGTTGAAAGAAGTGGCAGGAACTTCAGTTTGGGAGATACTTTATTTTATTCTATTTTATTTTAACATAGGACAAATTAACATATATTTTAAATGATTTGTGTCCCAGCAACAGCAAGTTTCAGTGTTATCTTGAACAGCAATTTTTTTAAAAAATATTTATTTATTTATGTATACAAGAGCTGGGGTACAGGCCAGAGATGTGGGGAAATGGTGAGAAGATTCACTAGAGACAGAGTGGGGAACAGAACAGGCAGATCTACTGAAATACACTGCTGAGAGGAGCAGCGGGCAAGATAGAAGAGGTCTGCTGCGCCATGTGGGTTGCCCCCTGACTGTCCAGGGGATCGAATTGGTGCTGTAGAGCTGCGGACAGCTTCATAGGTTGTGTCTCAACCGCTTGCACCACTAGGAGGCCCTTCAATGGCAATTTTATGAATTTAATGTAAAATACTCTAGATAAAGTCACTGTATAATATCAGAGATTCTTCATATCCTGCAAGAAGAATCATCTGAAACTAGACCTTGGCAGAATTGGACTGGAATCATCGTATTAGTGATAAGGAAGCTATAATATATACTCCCCAACTAGATCATTTAAATCCTCTAATCATACTTTTAAGAAAGTCTGAAGCTACTTTGACATCTATTTGGACATGGAAAAGAAAGGAACTTCCCCCCCACCAAATTTAAAAAGATAAGAAACTTCTCTCTATTACATCACTCTGTAGAAGTTTCCAGTGAAATGTGGAGAATGGGGTGCTCATGTACCTACAACTGTTTCTAAGGACAATTATAGTACATGTAGCATATATTTGAGAATTACAGAGAGCTGATTATATAATCCAAGTACATACTCGTCCAAGCAAAATGATTGCACTTATTGAGATTATAGGCCTATGTTACCCATTGGTACCATTTCAAAAATTATAGTAATTTATCTTATCAACAGTTTTGTCTAATCTGATAATACAGGGCCACTTAACACATAGAGAACACCTGCATTTTATGTATCTACAAGAATGTTCCTGTGGAAATCAGATCTTTATATTGACACCTTTGAGAAATGGACACTTAGAAAGTAATATTTATATTGTTGATCATTTTACAAACAAAATAGGGAAAAGTGATAGAAGGGACAAAGTTTTATTTTAACTACTTCAAAAAGGTAATTCTCAGAAATCATTTATATAAAGAGCAATCATTCAGCATCATGTTTTACTTTATTAAATTAAATATATAGCAAATCTATGTGTGGTAAATAGCCCTAAATCATATTAATAAAGTATCTAAATAACATATTCCATGAAATTCTGTAAATTACTAATGCAAATTTAAAGGATCTTTATTTTTCCTCCTAACAAAGAAAAATTTAATGATGTCAAGTTAAAAATACACATCACCACTTGGACATATTAATTGATTGATTTCAGTCTGTTATGACCTATACTCTTTAAAAAAATGTGTTGTAGCTATCCTCCTAGAAGGAAAAAAGAAGTTAAAGGTACTGACTATGAAATTACATATATGAGCATATTTTAAAAATGGGAATAAAACTGTCTTTCAATGAAGCAGAATAATTTGATAGTGACACTCCATCCTCGAAAACTGCAAGATGCAATTTTACACTGCTTTGAGTACAAGTATCTTTTGAGCTGTCATGCAGAAATGGTTTCTCTACTTGAAAATGGGGTTTTCCTTTCATCATTCAGGAATGTGCGCCTGTCACTCTCCATTGCCATCGATACGGGGAACCGTGATTGTGCTCGGAGCCGGCGACACTGCTTTTGACTGTGCAACATCCGCTTTACGTTGTGGGGCCCGCCGTGTGTTTGTCGTCTTCAGAAAAGGCTTTGTTAATATAAGAGCTGTTCCTGAAGAGGTAAAATGGAACTATCGTAAAATATGGAGTTGCAATGCAACAGATTTTAGCAGATGAAGCTATTAATATGCAATCTCCTAGTTTAAATCATTAGAATGCTCTAGAAATAGTGAAATGGAAATTGAAAAATTTCTGGGCTATCCAAAATGGTTTTTTTCTGATTTAGACATTAAATGTAATCTCTCTCTCTCTCCTCTCTCTCTCTCTCTCTCCCTCCCTCCCCCTCTCTTCCCCCCCACTCACATATACACATGTATGCATATATGTGTGTGCTTGTGTGTGTCCGTGTGTATATATATATATACACACACATATATATATATATATAAAACTGATATGGATAAAATGAGAAATTTATGTCAATACACAAGTGCTTCTTCTTTTTGGTATTAATATGTTTGAAATGTGTTGCTTTTTACTAATAACAGTGGAATGTGTGAAGCCTGCCATGTCCTGAATAATAGTGATCTTCACAGAATGGATGGTTGTAGGAGACTGTGCTAATTAGAGGTATTTGGAATTTTCCATGAGCCAAGTTCACAAGCCACATTCAAAGACATATACCTTGGTTATACTCACAATTGATTTATTCTGCTGTGAAGCCAGTCAAACAAAGAGATTGCCATGAAAGAACTCTAATGTAAACATTGTTTAGAATTAATAATTAGTTAACTTACTAAAAATGTCAGATTGAAAATCATTTCATTCTTACAAATGGCTGATGACTAATCTTGAGTGAGGCATCTTCTGGGTACATTTACCGGAGACTTCTCAAATTTTAATGTTATTAGAGAAAGATAATGCCTTATAAAGGATATTAGTTCTGAGAACAAGAACCAAATGTATTTATAGAAAGATAAATTACTCATTTTACCCAAATCAGTATTATGAATTTGATTTACTTCAGAATGCTTTAGAATGCCTGCACATATTCAGAGTCTCTGTCCTAAGCAAGAATTATAACTGTAGTCAATAAGTAATTTGTCACATGTATATTAACCACTTTACAGATTAAGCTCACTAAAATATGAGAGTCACCACTGGTTTATGACTGGCTTTCAAATGTTAGTTTTATTCTCTGGATTTTCACCCATCCAGTATGAATTTTCAGACTTTTCTTCCCAAAATCCAAGATGGACATAGTCTTATAATCATAATAGTTTTTTTCTGGATTGTTGTCTTAAGCAACAATTAGTGCAATATTGCCTTTATATATATATATATATATATATATATATATATATTTAATTATTGGAATTAAGTGACTTGCTTAAGATAAGAGGACAGGAGCTAATTTTATTCATCATTGTATACCCATGCATAGCATAGGACCGTACCAAAGAATAAATATTTGAGAATTATGTTTTCAGCTAAATATTTTAAATTTTGTTCTTCTGATTCCTTATAAAAGACTGCACCTTGAAAGTTGGAAGGGAAGGTGGCTCTGAATGGCAGTTGTTAATTTACTTCACACTTTACATTGTAGTCATCTTCCAAGCAAAACTAGAAATGAATAGTGCCTATTTCTTCTGCCTTAAATACAGTGCACACACACACACAAAAATTATATTAGCTAATAAATTAACCATATAGAGGTTGATGTTTGTTTGTTTATCAATGTTCATTGATCATCCTGTGTGTGCCAGGTATTGTTCCAGGCAATTTAAATATAGCAGAACAAATGCTCTTGAGGAAGTTGTACCGAGTGAGGGAAGACACTAAATATTCAAATAGATGAATTGTTACACAGCTAGTGTGTAAAAAGGTGACTAGTGCTATGGAGATTAGTTAATTAATGTGAGTTTACAGAGTGTATTTATGGGAAGAGGGTGTGTTGGAAGAAGAGGTGGGATTTGCCACTTTAAACAATGAGGCCATGAAGACCTCTCTAGTAAAATGACTTCAGACTTTAAAGATGAGAACATTGATCGAATGTAGATATCTGGGAAAACCACTTTCCAGGTCAAGGCAAATGCCTTTCCCTTTGAGGGGAAACTCTTAGACTTAAATTTTAAAGATACTATTGAATATGAACTAAAGGGAGGTTAAATCAGAATCAAGTAATATAGTAAGAAGTAGTAATCTGGCTAAAAGTAAGAGTAGATAATTATTGCATCTAACAGGGTCATGGGTCAGAATTCAGGCATAACTCCATCATGAGGCCAGGGCTCAGGGAACTGAGTCATTATTTCCAAATAATTGAGAAGCAGAGGGTCTGTGGAACACCACGTCATGTGCCAGCAGTAAAGTTAGAAAACTCAAGGGGATCTGGTACAGAATTAAAAAACTAGAACAAATGTCTTGATGCATATTAGTGGCTAACATGAAACTAAATATCTTGTATGTCCTAAAGTCATGTGGATGTAAGCTCCATGAGAGCAAAGCTGTGGTCCTTTCTCTTTTACACTTTTTCCTTTCCTTGCCTAAAGTAAAAGGTTGCCACACATATAAAGGGTTTAACAAATAGCTATGGATTAAATGTCTCATGGAGGGACTAGGCAGGGCCTCTTAGCCTTAAAAAGGTTAATGCTTTCCATGTTAGATCAGTGTTTCATCATTGACCCTTTATATGAAATTTTAGGCAAAATGCCTCAGGTAAGAGATGGAATAAAAAGTAATACGTTATCAGAATGTGCATAGAATTCAGGGTTGAGCGCCCCACTGCCCCGCCATGGTTGTACTTTCATGGAACCGGGGATTTTCAGTACTTGTTGCAATCCAGTGTTAATCTTTCATGACTGCTGCCTGGACCCGTAACATGCTGGTGCTACACTAAAGAAACATACAATACTGGATAGTCAGTAAGATGATGAGAATCACATTTCAAATTCAAGTCATAGGTTTTTGAAAGAATATGTTTCAGGACAAATGTTTAGTCAATATGAAAACCTAATTTTTTACCCAGTTTCTCTGTTTTCCACCTATGCTTACTACCCCGAAAACACCCAAAGTGCAAACACACTTGGTTTCTTTAAAGAAAGTGAAGATTGAAAAGCAGGGACATTTAGCATTATTCTCAAATATTAGTATTGGTTAGTAGGGCGGGCTTCTTGGATAGAGTTTGGGAACAACATTATGTGTGTTAGCAAAAGACCCCATTGTAGGACCTGTTAGCATGTTTGGTGTATATTCCCAAGCGGTATCTAATTCTCAAATTGTTTTTGAGGGAGTGAGCAATAGAAAATTCTTCATTTGCTAGTAACAGATATGAATGATTACAAAGACTGGTTGACATTTAACATGGAATTGTTTGAGGCTATGTCTGTTCCATGGTGGCTAACAAAGAACAGTGTGATTGGATCTAGAAAAGTTTTAATCTGCTCAACTAGGAGTTGGTATTCCCCACTAGACTGTGCATCCCATTTGTCTCAAACAGAGGTTCCCAAACATCACTGTGCAGCAAAATCATGTTGGGTAGGGTGTGAGGGGGGTCTTGTTAATCCTAGCTTGCTGGGACCCTTGGCTCAGAGTTTCTGATTCAGTAGGTCTGGGCCTGAGAATTTGCATTTGCAAATAAGTTCCTTGGTCATGCTGAGGCTGCTGTTCCACTGCTCTAATGTATCATCAATGTAGTTTCCAGCTGCCTAATTAGAGTCATAAGCTGTGTGCTGTTTTGGGGCACTTTCCATCTTAGTTAAGAAAGCATTAATGCTACAGGATATAGGTTTGATGAAACGAAGATACAGAGGCATCACCAGCATATTGATGTAATTCTGATTCCAAATGTCTTTCAGTCTCCCTTGTGGTCTTACACACATGCTAAATAGGATGCTACTGACAAACTAGTGCTTCTCAGCTGTGGGTCCTTAGGGAAACCAGCCAATCACTCAGCACTGTCCTCTAAGAAGATGAGGGAAAATCTGTTAATAATTCCCTGCAGTACTTTCTGCAAGCTTAAATAGGTGAGATTAAATTTCACAGGATAACAGAATCCCCCAAAATGCTGGTATTAAAAGCTGTTGACAGATCAGATAGAGCTGCAAGAATGCTTTAGGCAGTTGGGAATCCCTAAAAGGAGGCGTGAAGGTCAGGGCTCAACAGACCCACTTGAGTTGATAAATTTAAAGGATAAAGTTGGGATAGGACTTTGTACTTCTTATTAATTATTACTGAAAAGAATATGGCACAAAATTATTTTACTAGCACATTCCGACACAAAAAAGATTATTTCAAGAATCTATTGTTCAAATATTCAATCTCCAAAATAGCTGTAAGATCTGATAGATCTTTAATTTTGCTGTAATTTAAATGACTATGCTACTCTTTAATACCCCTTGGTTTCTCTCTTTTCTTTTGCCAAAATGGTAACTAATTTAATTTTATATGCTTGTTTCCACATATTTTATCTTTTTATAGAGTCAACTATTTTGATAATTAATGCTACTTTGTTATTTTTAATAACACAATACATGTACTAGATTGCCTGGTCTCTTAGTCAAAAATGTCTTCATCTGTTATTGAAACTCTGAAATAATACATATTCTCTTGCAACAATGCATTTAAATAGAATCTCTCTGATACCATATAACATACCCTTTAATAGATCATTCATGAAGTTTGAACTGTAGACTTTCCCTTGGATGTTTTTTTAATATCAAATGACCACATTAAAGCTACATTCCCAAAACTTTCATCATCAACATCTTGCCGGCTGAACTTGCATTTTCCTATCAGTAACTGATGTTTTCTAGTTTTTATTTAATTGCAAGAAATATGAACCTGGGACTCTTTTTAGAAAATAACCTCTATAAACTGACAAATTTAATTTTCCTTATAAGAGTAATGCTTATAGGAACTCTTCAACATTTGGCACCTGCACATCATTTGAGTTGCTGTTCTTCTAGGAAAGTAATCAGAGACCCGTTAGCATGATTGGCAATAAGCAGATACCTGCAAACAAACAAATATGCACAATTTGCCCCAAGCACACAAAGTCAATTAATAGTAGTTAGGGACTCCCCTGGTACTAAGATATTAAGTTTGTCTTTAATACTCAACAA